GGGTTAGGTTACGGGTTAGGGTATGGGTTAGGGTACGCGTTAGTTTTAGTGTATGGGTTAGGATTAGGGTACAGGATAGGGTAAGGCTTAGGGTAAGGGTTAGGGTTACGGTTGGGGAAAGGGTATGGTTTAGAGTACAGGTTAGGGTACGACAACGGGTTAGGGTTAGGGTACATGTTAGGGTACAGATCAGTGTTAGTGTACAGGTTAGATTTAGAGTAGGGTTAGGGTTGGGGAATGGGTACTCATTAGGTTACAGGCTAGGGTAAGAAAACGGGTTAGGTTTAGGGTACGTGTTAGGGTGTGGGTTAGTGTTAGTGTACGGGTTAGTATTAGGGTACGGATTAGGTTAAGGTTGGCTTAGCGAACGGGTACAGTTTAGGGTACAGCTTAGGGTACAAAAACGCGTTAGGATTAGGGTACGTGTTACAGTACTGGTTAGTGTTAGTGTACGGGTTAGGATTAGGGTATGGTTTAGGGTAAGGGTTAGGAAACGGGTATGGTTTACGGTACAGGTTAGGGTACGGCAACGGGTTAGGGAACGTGTTAGGGTATGGGTTAGTGTTAGTGTATGGGTTAGGATTAGGGTACGGGTTAGGTTAAGGCATAGGGTATGGGTTAGGGTACGACAACAAGTTACGGATAGGGTACGTGTTAGGGTACGTGTTAGTGTTAGCGTATGGGTGAGGATTAGGGTACGGGTTAGGGTAAGGCTTAAGGTAAAGTTTAGGGTTAGTGTTATTGTTAAGGTTAGGATTAGGGAACGGGTACGGTTTAGGTTATAGGTTAAGGTACGACAACTGGTTAGGTTTAGGGTACATGTTAGGTTACAGTTTAGTGTTAGTGTACGTATTAGTATTAGGGTATGGTTTAGGGTAAAGTTTAGGGTTAGGCTTAGGCTTAGGCTTAGGGTTAAGTAATGGGTATGGTTTAGGGTACAGGTTAGTGTACAACAACAGGTTAGAGTTAGGGTACGTGTTAGTGTTAGTGTACGGGTTAGGTTTAGGTTATGGGTTAGGGTAAGGCTTAGTGTAAGGGTTAGGTTTAGGGTTAGGGTTACGGAATGGGTACGGTTTAGGGTACAGGATAGGGTATGACAAAGGGTTAGGTTTAGTGTACGTGTTAGGGTTAGGCTTACTTTACTGGTTAGGATTAGGGTACGGGTTAGGTTTAGGGTTAGTGTTAGCATTAATGTTAGGGTTAGGGAACGGGTACTATTTAGGGTTCAGGTTAGGGTACAAAGACGGGTTAGGGTTACTGTATGTGTTAGGGTACAGGGTAGTGTGAGTGGATGGGTTAGGATTAGGGTACTAGCTAGTGTAAGGTTAGGGTTAGGGAACGGGTAGGGTTTAGGGTACAGGTTAGGGTATGAAAACGGGTCAGGGTTGGGGTACATGTTAGGGTATGGCTGAATGTTAGTGTATGGCTTAGAGTAAGGCTTAGGGTAAGGGTTAGGGTACGGCTACAGTTTAGGGTACAGTTTAGGGTACGACAACAGGTTAGGGTTAGGGTATGTGTTAGTGTTAGTGTACGGATTAGGATTAGGGTATGGGTACGGTTTAGGGTAGAGGTTAGGTTACTCCAATGGGTTAGGGTTAGGTTACATGTTAGGGTATGTGTTAGGGTTAGGGTTAGGGAATGGGTATGGTTTAGGGTACAGGTTAGGGTACGACAATGGGTTAGGGTTAGGGTACGTTTTAGGGTATGGGTTCGTGTTAGTGTACAGGTTAGGATTAGTGTATGGGTTAGGGTAAGGTTTATGGTAGGGTTATAGTTAGGATTAGGGTTAGGGAAAGGGTAATGTTTAGGGTACATGTTAGGGTATGACAACTGGTTACACTTTGGGTAAGTGTTAGGGTACGGATTAGTGTTAGTTTACACGTTAGGATTAGGGTACGGTTTAGGGTGAGGCTTTGGGTAAGGGTTAGGGTTAGGCAATGGGTATGGTTTAGGGTACAGGTTAGTGTACAACAACAGGTTAGAGTTAGGGTACGTGTTAGTGTTAGTGTACGGGTTAGGTTTAGGTTATGGGTTAGGGTAAGGCTTAGTGTAAGGGTTAGGTTTAGGGTTAGGGTTACGGAATGGGTACGGTTTAGGGTACAGGATAGGGTATGACAAAGGGTTAGGTTTAGTGTACGTGTTAGGGTTAGGCTTACTTTACTGGTTAGGATTAGGGTACGGGTTAGGTTTAGGGTTAGTGTTAGCATTAATGTTAGGGTTAGGGAACGGGTACTATTTAGGGTTCAGGTTAGGGTACAAAGACGGGTTAGGGTTACTGTATGTGTTAGGGTACAGGGTAGTGTGAGTGGATGGGTTAGGATTAGGGTACTAGCTAGTGTAAGGTTAGGGTTAGGGAACGGGTAGGGTTTAGGGTACAGGTTAGGGTATGAAAACGGGTCAGGGTTGGGGTACATGTTAGGGTATGGCTGAATGTTAGTGTATGGCTTAGAGTAAGGCTTAGGGTAAGGGTTAGGGTACGGCTACAGTTTAGGGTACAGTTTAGGGTACGACAACAGGTTAGGGTTAGGGTATGTGTTAGTGTTAGTGTACGGATTAGGATTAGGGTATGGGTACGGTTTAGGGTAGAGGTTAGGTTACTCCAATGGGTTAGGGTTAGGTTACATGTTAGGGTATGTGTTAGGGTTAGGGTTAGGGAATGGGTATGGTTTAGGGTACAGGTTAGGGTACGACAATGGGTTAGGGTTAGGGTACGTTTTAGGGTATGGGTTCGTGTTAGTGTACAGGTTAGGATTAGTGTATGGGTTAGGGTAAGGTTTATGGTAGGGTTATAGTTAGGATTAGGGTTAGGGAAAGGGTAATGTTTAGGGTACATGTTAGGGTATGACAACTGGTTACACTTTGGGTAAGTGTTAGGGTACGGATTAGTGTTAGTTTACACGTTAGGATTAGGGTACGGTTTAGGGTGAGGCTTTGGGTAAGGGTTAGGGTTAGGCAATGGGTATGGTTTAGGGTACAGGTTAAGGTACGACAACGGTTTAGGGTTAGCATACGTGTTAGGGTATGGGTTAGTGTTAGTGTATGGGTTAGGATTAGGGTACGGGTTAGGGTAAGGCTTCGGGTGAGGGTTAGGGTTAGGGAACGGGTATGGTTTAGCATATAGATTAGGGTATGACAACGGGTTAGGGTATGTGTTAGGGTACGGTTTAGTGTTAGTGTATGGGTTAGGATTAGGTTATGGGTTAGGGTATGGTTTAGGGTTAGGGTTATGGTTAGGGTTAGCGTTAGGGAATGGGTACGATTTACGGTACCACTTAGTGTTCGACAATGGGTTTGGTTAGAGTACGTATTAGGGTATGGTTTAGTGTTAGTGTACGGGTTAGGATTAGGTTTTGGGTTAGGGTACGGTTTAGGGTTAGGGTTACAGTTAGGGTTAGGGAACAGGTACAGTTTAGGTTACAGTTTAGTGTACGACAACATCAGCCTTTGGGGGTTTATCTGGGCACATTTACGTCTAGTGTATAAACGAGGAACACCACTGACAGGAAGGTCAGTTTTCCTGGTTAACAGAATGGCAAAAGTGGAAATGCTGCCACCCAATGGCCGTTACCTGCAACCGCAGCTTTAAAACCTGTGCTAATCGTCACTTCATATGCACAAGCACTGGAGGGCTGTAAATGAAACCTGCCCTCAAAATTTCTTCAGGGAGGTAATGGCCAAAAGATTTCAAAATGTGGCACATACTTCAGGAAACCATTTGAAGAGGTAAGCTGTACTCACAGTTTGAAGAATTAAAGGACATGCCTGAAAGCTCAATTTCAATGGATTATGAGACGCATGAAAATCCAATCACAAAGAGGTATCAGCTCACTGCAGTCAGAATAAAAATTAGCAGAAAAACTACAAACAATAAATGCTGAAGGGGTTATGGAGAAGTGCATACTCTCAACTTTAAATGGGACGTAAACTGGTAAGAGCCACTAATGGAACAGAATGGAGGTGCCTTTACAAGGTAAACATTTGGCTACCATATGATCCAGCAGGCCCACTCCTTGGCCTATAACTGAAGACAACAGAATTAGAAAGACACAGGCAGGCAAATGTGCATTGCAGCAGTATTACAATAGCCAAGACATGGAAGCAACCAAACAGTCCATCAGCAGAAGAGTGGACAAAGAAGAACTGGTACACGTACAGATGGAATATTAGCCAAGGAAAAAAATGACACAATGCCATTTGCAACACTGTAGATGAGTCTAGAAGTAATCACGCAACTTGTTGTATGTCAGAAAGTGAAAGACACATATCTTATGATATCACTTATAGGTGATACCTAAAAGTTGACACCAGTGAAGATATTTCCACAGAGAAAGGCAATCACAGATTTATTAAACTTATGGTTCACCAATGGAAAGGTGTGAGGATTAGATACATTAGAATGTCGGGGTTAACAGAGATATACAAACACAGGTGAAGTATATAATCACCAAAACCTACAGAATACCAAGAGAAGACTACTCAACATTGTGTCATAACCTACATGGGAAAAGGATCCAAAGAACAATAGATATATGTATATGTGTAAAACAACCACATCTTGCACACCTGGAACAAGCAAAACATTGTTATCACACTTGCTGTGATAAAAAATGAAAATTAAATTTAAAAAACGAACAAGAAGTAGTGAGATATAAACTTAAGGGGCTTTTTCCTGGCACATTCCATTCTAATTTACAACCTAGAACCCAACTTCCATTGAGGCTCTGTTGCCCTAATAACCAGATTTGTTAAAGGAGAACTGCTGCCGCCTTGTGGCCATTTCACACAACAGCAGCTCTAAACCGAGCGATAATGGTTACTTGATATTCAAAATAATTCCAGGTCTGTAAATGACACCTGCCCTCTAAACAAATCCTTGGGTACTAAATCGAGCAAAAATCTCAAAAGACGTGCATATTTCCAAACGACAATTTAAGGAGGCATATTTTACTGACATTTTGTATTCTCTTTTTTTCCTTTCTTTTTTTTTTTGTTAAAAAAAGTGCAAGGAAAAATGCTCAACATCAGGAATTAATAAAGCCATGCAAATCCAGTCTACAAAAACGTTCACCTCACAGTCTTCAGAACGATCATCAGCAAAAAAGTCTACAAAGTATAAATGCTGAAGGGGTTTTAGAGAACTGTGTACCCTCTAGCTGCTGGTGGGATGTAACCTGGTAACATCCAGTACTGAGAACAGAATGGAGGTGTGTTTAAAGGTAAAAATTGAGCTACCATGTGATCTGGGGGGCCCACTGGTGGGCCTGTCACCTGAGTAGACCAGAATCAAAAAGACACAGGCTGGCAATCCTGCACTGCAGCAACATGTACCACAGCCAAGACCTGGAAGAAACCAAAATGTCCATCAACAGAAAAATGCACGAAGAAGAAGTGGTCCATGTACACAATGGAATATTAGCCATGGAAAAGCATGGAACAATGCTGTTGGCACCACCATAGAAAGATCTAGAGATAATCACCCAACTTGAAGTAAGAAAGAAACCAAAAGACAGATATCCTATGACATCACTTCTAGTTGTTACCTAAAAATTGATACCCATGAAATACTTTCCAAGAGAAGGACACAATAGATTCAGAAAACCAAATTATGTTTAACCAAATGGAAAGGTGTGAGGAAGGTATGAATTAGGATATGGGGATTAACAGACATGTACTAATACATATGAAATATATAATCACAGAATGCCTATGGAATACCAAGAGAGGCCTACTCAACATTCTGTAATAACCTACACGGGAAAATATCCAAAGATGAATAGATCAATACATAGATATAATGAACCAGATTCTGTACATCTAGAACACACACAACATTTTTATCAAATTTTATCAATTTTATCAAATACTCTGATACTAAATAAAAATTAAATTTACAAAACAAACAAGGAGTAAGGAGATATAAGCTCTTAGGGGTTTTCCCTGGCACATTCCACCCTAATTTGCAGCCTAATAACAAGATTTCCCGGAAGGCTCTATTGGTCAAAAACACAGAGTTGGAAATGGAGAAACGCTGCCGCTTTGTGGCCATTTGCGGCAAGAGTGGCTTTAAACCCACTGCTAATGGTCACTTAACATTCACAAAGACTCAGGGCTGCAAAGGACACCTGCCCTCAAAAAATGTCCCGAGCTAGGGAATGACCAAAAAATTTCAATACATGCAAATATTTAAAGGAGATAGTATGAAGAGATAAGTTTACACACTCTTCTTCAAAAGAAAGGAAAATGGATAAAAGCTCAACATCAGGAATTATTAGACTCATGCAAATCTAATCTACAAAAAGGTTTCAAGTCACACAAGTCAACTACCATCAGCAAAAAATCTACAAACAATACATGCTGAAAGGGTTTTAGAGAACTGTGTACCCTCTAGCTGCTGGTGAGATGTAAAGTGGTAACAGCCAATAATGAGAACAGAAAGGAGCTGCGTTTAAAAATAAAAACTGGGGCTTCCCTTGTGATACAGTGGTTGAGAGTTTGCCTGCCGATGCAGGGGACACGGGTTCATCCCCAGTCCGCGAAGATCCCACATGCCGCAGAGAGGCTAGGCCCGTGAGCCATGGCCACTGAGCGTGCGTGTCCGGAACCTGTGCTCCTCAACAAGAGAGGCCACAACAGTAAGAGGCCATCGTACCGCAAAAAAAGAAAAAGTAAAACGGAGCCACCATTCCATCCAGCAGGCCCAACAGTGAGCTTCTCACCTGAGAAGACCAGAATCGAGAAGGCAGAGGCTACAACAGCTGCACTGCAGCCACTTTCACAATAGCCAAAATACAGAAGCAACCAAAATGTCCATCAACAGATGAATGGATAAAGAAGTGGTCCATGTACACAATGGAATATTAGCCTTGGAAAACAAAGAAACACTTTTCTTTGAGGCACCATAGATGAGTGTAGAGATAATAACAGAACATGAGGTAAGTTGGAAAGCAAAAGGCATATCGTATGCTATCACTTATAGGCGTTATCTAACAACTGAACCAAATGAACATATTTCCACAGAGAAAGACACTCGCAGACTTAGAAAACAAATTATGCTTATCTAAAAGGAAAGGTGGAGGGAATGGATAAATTAAGATCAGGTTTACCATACGTGTACAAATGCGTATTAAATACATATGTCAAAAAGACCGACCATATAGAAATGGAGGTCTCCGGGACACGCACACTCAGATATCTATATTTATATCTATCTATCTATATATATACATATATATATAAATATAATGTACAAACGAATCAGATTGTGTACACCTAGGACAAGCAATATTCTAATCATTACCCTGATTAAAAAAATTAAAACAACGAACAAGAAGTAATGTGATACAAACTTATGGGGGGGGGTTTCCTGGCACATTCCATTCTAATTTACAACCTGGGAACATGACTTCCGGAAAGGCTCTGCTGCCCTAGTAACCGGATTTGGGAATGGAGAAACGCTGCTGCCTTGTGGCCGTTTCCCACAAGAGCATCTTAAAACCAGTGCTAAGGGTCACTAAATATTCACACTCATTGCAGGTCTGTAGATGACATCTGCCCTCAAAAAAAATCCTGGTGTCGAAAATCGACCAAAAAAATCAAAAGAGGGCAACCTTCCAAGAAGATGATTTCAAGAGGTTTATTGTACTCACAGTTTTTTTCTGTTTTTGTTTAACAGAATTAAAAAAGCCGTGGAAAACCTGAATATTAGGAATTATTGAAGACATGCAAATCCAAATTACAAAAACCTATCAGCTCACACAAGTCAGAATAGTCATCAGCAAAAGTTCTGCAAACAATAAATGCTGAAGGGGTTGTGGAGAAATGCATACCCTTGGTTCTAAGTGGGACGTGGTAAGAGCCACTAATGAAACAAAATGGAGGTGCCTCGAAAGGGTAAACATTGAGCTACCATTCAATCAAGCATACCCACTGCTGGGCCTATCACCTGAGAGGATGAGAATCAAAAAGACACAGGCTGGCAATCCTGTATTCCAGCAATATTTACCATTGCCAACACTTGGAAGCAACAAAAATGTCCATCAACAGAGGAATGCACAAAGAAGTGGTCCATGTACACAATGGAACACTACTCCAATAAAAAATATAAATTCAATTTAAAAAACAAACATAAGTAAGGAGACATCAGCTTTTGGGGGCTTATCCGGGGACACTCCACTTAAATTTATAACCAAGGAACACCACTGGCAGGAAGGTCTGTTTCCCTAGTTACCAGAGTGGGGAAAGCAGAAATGCTGCCACCCTCTGGCTATTGCCTGCAACAGCAGCTTTAAAACCTGTACTAATTGTCACTTCATATGCACAAATACTGGAGGGCTGTAAATGAAACCTGTCCTCAAAATGTCTTGAGGGGTGTAATGGCCAAAATACTTCAAAATGTGGCACATATTTCAAGAAAACAATTTGAAGACGTAAGCTGTACTCACAGTTTGAAGGAAAAAAGGACATGCCTGAAAGTTCAATTTCAGGGGATTATGAGACGCATGCAAGTCCAACCACAAAGAGGTATCAGCTCACACCAGTCAGAATAACCATCAGCAAAAAAACTACCCACAATAACTGCTGAAATTGTTGTGGAGAAGTGCATACCATCAACTTTAAGTGGGACTTAACCTGGTAAGAGCCACTAATGAGAAAAGAATGGTGGTGCCGTTACAAGGTAAACATTGAGCTACAATATGATCCAAGAGGCCCAGTCCTGGGCTTATAACATAAAAAGACAGAATTAGAAAGACACAGGAGGGCAAATCTGCATTGCAGCAATATTACAATAGCCAAGACATGGAAGCAAACAAAAAGTCCATCAACAGATGAGTGGATAAAGAAGAACTGGTACACGTACAGATGGAATATTAGCCAAGGAAAAATATAGCACAATGCCATTTGCAGCACCATCCATGAGTCTAGAGGTCATCAAGCAACTTGTAGTAAGTCAGAAAGCAAAAGACACATGTCCTATGATACCACTTAGAGGTGTTACCTGATAATTGATAACAGTGAAGATATTTCCACAGAGAAAGGCAATCACAGATTCATTAAACAAACTTATGGTTCACCAATGAAAAGGTGTGAGACTGTATACATTAGGATATTGGGTTAAACAGAGGTATACAAACACATGTGAAATATATAATCTCTGAAGACCTACGGAATACCAAGAGAAGACTACTCAACATTGTGTCATAACCTACATGGGAAAAGAATCTGAAGAAGAATAGATATATTTATATGTGTAAAAGAACCACATCTCCCACACCTAGAACAAGCAAAACATAGCAATCAAAGTTGCTGTGATAAAAAATAAAAATTAAATTAAAAAAAAAACGAACAGGAAGTAGTGAGACATAAACTTAAGGGGCTTTTTCCTGGCACATTCTGTTCTAATTTACAACCTAGAACACAACTTCCCTTAAGGCTCTGTTGACCTAGTAACGAAATTTGCTAAGGAGAACTGCTGACACCTTGTGCCCGTTTCACACAACAGCAGCTCTAAACCCAGCGCTAATCTTTACTTGATATTCAAAATAATTCCAGGCCTGTAAATGACACCTACCCTCTAAACAAACTTTTGGGTTGTAAATCGAGCAAAAAATTCAAAAAAGTTGCACATTTCAAAACGACGATTTCAAGAGGCATATTTTACACACATTTTGTCTTCTCTTTCATTTATTCTGTTAAAAAAAAGGGCATGGAAAAATGCTAAACCTCAGAATTAATAAAGGCATGTAAAGCCAGTCTACAAAAACTTTCACCTCACAGCCGTCAGAATGATCATCAGCAAAAAAGTCTACAAAGAATAAATGCTGAAGGGATTTCAGAGAACTGCGTACCCTCTAGCTGCTCTTGGGATGTAACCTGGTAACAGCCAGTAGTGAGAACAGAATGGAGGTGCATTTAAAGGTAGAAATTGAGCTACCATGTTATCTGGTAGGCCCATTGATGGGCCTATGTCCTGAGTAGACCAGAATTAAAAAGACACAGGCTGGCAATCCTTCAGTGTAGCAACATGTACCATAGCCAAGACTTGGAAGAAACCAAAATGTCCATCAACAGAAAAATGCAAAAAGAAGTGGTCGATGTACACAATGGAATATTAGCCATGGAAAACTGAAACAGTGCCATTGGCAGCACCATACTAGGATCTAGAGATAATCACCCAACTTGAAGTAAGAAAGAAACCAAAAGACATATATCCTATGACATCACTTATACGTGTTACCTAAAAATTGATACCCATGAAATTATTGCCAAGAGAAGGACACGCATGGATTCAGGAAACAAAATTATGTTTAACCAAATGGAAAGGTGTAAGGAATATATGAGTTAGGATATGGGGGTTAACCAACATGTACTAATACATATGAAATATATAATCACAAAATACCTATGGAAAACCAAGAGAGGTCTACTCAACACTCTGTAATAACCTACATGGGAAAGGATCCAAAGATGAATCGATTGATACATAGATATAATGAACCAGATTCTGTACACCTAGAACAAACAATATTTTTATCAAATTTGCTGTGATAATAAATAATTAAATTTAAAAAACAAACAAGAAGTAAGGAGATATAAGCTCTTGGGGGTTTGCTCTGGCACATTCCACTCTAACTTGCAGCCTACTAACACGATTTCCAGGAAGGCTCTGTTGCCCAAAAACCCAGAGTTGGAAATGTAGAAATGCTGCCGCCTTGTGGCCGTTTCCCACAACAGCTAAAATCAGTGCTAATGGTCACTAAATATTCACACTCATTGCAGGCCTGTAAATGACAGCTGCCCTGAAAAAAAAATCCTGGGGTCTAAAATCGACCAAAAAATTCAAATGAGGGCAACCGTCCAAGAAGACAATTTAAGAGGTTTATTGTACTCACTGTTTTTTTTCTGTTTTTGTTTAACAGAAATAAAAAATGGCATGGAAAAATGCTGAACATTAGGAATTATTAAAGACATGCAAATCCAAATTACAAAAACCTATCAGCTCACACCAATCAGAATGGCCATCAGCAAAAATTCTGCAAACAATAAAGGCTGAAGGGATTGTGGAGAAATGCATACCACTGGTTCTAAGTGGGACGTGGTAAGAGCCAGTAATGAAAACATAATGGAGGTACCTTGAAAAGGTAAACATTGAGCTACCATGCAATCAAGCATACCCTCTGCTGGTCCTATCGCCTGAGAGGATAAGAATCAAAAAGACACAGGCTGGCAATCCTGCACTCCAACCATATTTACTATAGCCAACACTTGAAAGAAATGAAAATGTCCATCAACAGAGGAATGCAGAAAGAAGACGTGGTCCATGTACACAATGGAATATTACTCCAATAAAAAATATAAATTCAATTTAAAAAACAAACATAAGTAAGGAGACATTAGCTTTTGGAGGTTTATCCGGGCACATTCCACTCTAATTTATAACCGAGGAACACCACTGGCAGGAAGGTATGTTTCCCTAGTTGCCAGAGTGGGGAAAGCAGAAATGCTGCCGCCCTCTGGCCATTACCTGCAACAGCAGCTTTAAAACCTGTGGTAATCGTCACTTCATATGTACAAGTACTGGAGGGCTGTAAATGTAACCTGCCCTCAAAATGTCTTGAGGGAGATAATGGCCAAAATACTTCCAAATGTGGCACAGACTTCAAAAAACAATTTGGAGAGGTAAACTGTACTCACTGTTTGAAAAAAAAGGACATGCCTGAAAGCTCAATTTGAAGAGATTATGAGACGCATGCAAATGCAACCACAAAGAGGTATCAGCTCACACCAGTCACAATAACCATCAGCAAAAAACCCTAAAAACTGTAAATGCTGAAGGGGTTGTGGAGAAATGCATATCCTCAACTTTAAGTGGGACTTAACCTGGTAAGAGCCACTAATGAGAACAGAATGGAGGTGCCTTTACAAGGTAAACATTGAGCTACAATATGATCCAGGAGGCCCACTCCTAGGCCTATAACCTAAGAAGACAGAATTGGAAAGACAATGGCAGGCATATCTGCATTGCAGCAGTATTACAATAGCCAAGACATGGAAGCAAACAAAAAGTCCATCAACAGATGAGTGCACAAAGAAGAACTGGTACATGTACAAATGGAATATTAGCCAAGGAAAAAAATAGCACAATGCCATTTGCAGCACCATACATGAGTCTAGAGGTAATCATGCAACTTGTAGTAAGTGAGAAAGCGAAAGACAGATATCCTATCATATCACTTAGAGGTGTTACCTAAAAATTGATACCAGTGAAGATATTTCCACAGAGAAAGGCAATCACAGATTCATTAAACAAACTTATGGTTCACCAGTGGAAAAGTGTGAGGATTGGATATATTAGGATATTGGCATTAACAGAGATATACAAACACAGGTGAAATATATAATCACCAAAGATCTACGGAATGCCAAGAGAAGACTACTCAACATTGTATCATAACCTACATGGGAAAAGGATTCTAGGAAGAATAGATATATGTATATGTGTAAAAGAACCACATCTTGCACAGGCGGAACAAAGAAACCATTGTAATCAAACATGCTGTCATTAAAAATTAAATTAATAAAACGAACAAGAAGTAGTGAGACATAAACTTAAGGGCCTTTTTCCTGGCACATTCCATTTTTTACAACCTAGAACACGACTTCCCTTAAGGCTCTGTTGCCCTAGTAACCAAATATTTTAA